CATTAAATAATTTTACTAATGGTAAAAAATTAAAATTGAAATGTATTAACTATTTTTTAGAATTTATTTATATATTATTGGCACCCATGGTTAATTTTTTTTCATTTTTTATTTTGATTTATTTATATAATAAAATTCTTGTAAAATATATTTTCATTGCAGAGTATGCTAAATAAACTATAAATCCTTATAATGCAAATTAGAAAAATCTTGATCAAGGAATAAGTAATTAAGTATTATATGGTGAACAAGAATAAGTAAATTGTTATTCTCTCTTATATCAAGGAACAAATATATATACTAAAATCAAATTTATATTAGTATAAATGTGTTAGTGAGATAATCTATTAATTAATTTACAAGCTAGACCTAACATGTTCGTATTTAATGTTTTGACTAAAAAACAACACTGAATAAAAGAAGTGCAAAATAGATTATAACTTTATTTTTTATTACACTTAATGCTAATTAAAAGATATGAAAAATAGATGATAACTTTATTGTTTCATATACTTAAACGGACAAAGCCTAAGCTTGTGAAATTGACTCACTTAATATTTATGTCCCGTGCATCGCACGAGGTACGTACTAGTTATGAATAAAAACTGACACTTTACTTGAAACATGAACATTTATATACAGAAAGGAATGGAAGGGTAACAAACAAGGTCAATGTGCACATATGCCGTAAGTGTTTTACACTTATTTGTATATATACATAATCGTAAATTTAATTGCATTTATACCTTTCTTAAACAAAATATTTAAATATGTGCAATATTGAGAGGATGAAGAAATAACTACTTACTATAACAAGACTCCGTAACGGACAGGATGGATGATTAAATACAAAAAAATTGTATTACCATGTCAATTAATATATACAATTACGAAATGCGCAAGTTCCCTAAAAATATGCAAAATTTAAGCAGTCTCCTCAAATGTCGTTGATGTCCTATTTGCCGCTGGCTCGAATTACGAGAAACTGTAGTGTATATTTTATGTATCTTTTATGTATATGTGTGTCCCGATTTGTCGCCAACTTGAATACGAGAAGTTCGAGTGTATATGTTATGTATTTTATGTATGTGTGGGTCCCGATCTACCTTCGGCTTTAATTACGGGAAACTCGAGTTTATATTTTTATATACCTTTTTATGCATATGTACAACAAAGAGCACGTTTCTATATAGTAAACATATACACAATATAAACAATATATACACGAATATTATACAATATATATCTGCAACTACGCAAACAACAAAAAAAGTATAAATATACTACATATATACAACACATATACCGTCTGGTCTAGTCTTCTGCTCAACATATATACAATGTAGTATATATACAACATATATACTACATATATACAACATCAATTCTTCATGGGGATTTCTCAGATCGGCACACGATTTATGTCTAGAGGGACCGTGAATTTTCCGTTTCTTGGATTTATCTTTAATTGCTTTGTCATCTTCTTCTTCGTCGACCGAATATTCTTCACTCTCACTCGCTTCGGCATGAATTTCATCCTTGAAATCCGAATCCAGTGACTTCATAATTTTTTCCGACCGACCCAATTTCTTGTCGAACTGCAATTTCTTTTGTACAAGGGTTGGATGCTTGTTTGATTTCATATTCCTTAGACGGGAACTCGACCTCCGATAAGGTGAACTTCCGGCTCTGATGGATGGGCTTCTTCCAATTTTGGTCTTCGCCATTGTTGTGGAGCTTCAGAGGAGATAGGGTTTGCGGTTATTGGAAGGGATCGAAGTTGGGGAGGTGGTGTTAGTGGAAGAAAGATTAATTATGAGAGAGAATAAATCTTGTTACCATATTTAACGGGATCCCTTTTTTTCAACTTATATTCTTTCCATAAATTTTGGTAATTAATGTATAATTTGTTAAAAAAACTGATAGAATTTTATGGTGGCATATGTGCAAATAAAAAGTAGAATCTATATCTATATAATGGACGAATCCATTTTGCCAAAAATGGACGAAGTTTTCCCGCTTAAAATTTTTCGGACAAAATTGGAAATATTGATTGTATACCAATTTGTGGATAATTTTGTTAGCAAATATTTTGGAAATATTGTTTCTATAACAGTCCCGTGGATAATTTTGTTAGCAAATATTTATTGATCCAGTGGATCTTGCTTGGATTTGAGCAATGATTCTATTAGCAACTATTTTGTTAGCAAATATTTTGTTAACTTTAGGAGGATATATTATATTTTGGACGATAGATTTTGTTAGCAAAGATTTTATTGTTAATTTACATAAACATGGTATCAATAAAAAAATAGAAGGATTTTAATTGCATTTTTTTTGCACATATTAATATAAACATATTGCCATCTTTATGTCAATTATAATTAATTTATTAATTAATATACACATATTATCATCTTTACGTGAAATGTGATTATATAAATCCTGATTAAGATTGACACTACTGTCACAAAAAATATATTTTATACGTACTCAACCAACAAAGGTTCAAAAAAATACCTCCCCTTTTTGTGTCGATAAAAAAATTCCACAAATGGCTCTTAAACTTTGTCTAATTAGGATGTACGAAAGGGTTACAACCCTTGGAGGAAACGTGATTCACTTTATTGAGTGCATCTTTCATGATTGCGAAGTGCGTATATTGTAAAATATGTTGGTGTTATATACTTAAGCTTTGCTTTAGTGGATATTACACATGTTATTCCTTGATGAATGAGAATTATGTTTGGTTAAATAAGTTCCACGTTCTGTTGTTTTGCATG